GTAGGGAAATATGACATTGTCATTAGTTCTAGCCAATCATATATCTAACAGCATTTATCCCCTTATGCCTCCAACATTCAGCCATCCCAAACACACTATGATCTAGAAACAGCCACTCTTGTGCATGGTCTTAATCAAGACCAGTAGTGAACTGCATGCATCAATGCAAAGATATACATGGCAACAATCATGATTTACATTAAGTAAGAGAGTTCAGTACATTGCAAAGTTGTACACCGAGTACCTCCTACTTGCTGAGATGACATCTAATAAGGGTGACCTTTCCATTTTCAGTGGGTCACTAATAGTTCAGTCAGGTGCAGGGAATGACACTTGATCTCCCAAGGGACATTTGGCATCTCTGAAGAGATGAAGGCAATGAATATGAATGAAAGCCACAGAAAAAGCATAGCCTAAACCATCCAGGGTCCAGTGTTTTCAAACTAAACAATTCAAGATTGGGTCATTAAGCCCCAAAGATAAGAGTTTAAGGACAAGAAACATAAGAAGGATAAAATACTCATGGCACCTGAGGAGATGCAGTCCTTCATTTTTCTACCTATGATTCAGTGTGAAAGAGTGCTGTATGTGAGCAATTCAAATCAAAAGATTTAATACCACAACAAAATTCTGCAGACGTCACAAGCCACTTTGATTGCTGGGATATCACAGAATCATTTATGTTGGAAAAGACCTTTAAGATCACCACCCCCAGCCATTAACCTAGCACTGCCAAGTCCACCACTAAACCATGTCCCTAAGTACTACATCTACATGTCTTTTAACTACCTCCAGGGATAGTGACTCAAGCACTGGAACACGCTGCCCAGGGAAGTGGTTGACAACCCTTTTGGTGAAGAATTTTTTCCTAATACCCAATCTAAACCTCCTCTGACACAACTCGAGGCCGCTTCCTCTTGTCCTTGCATCCTTGCACTTGTTACTTTGGAGAAGAGACCAACACCCACCTCACTACAACCCCCTTTCAGGTAGCTGTAGAAAGCTGTAAGGTCTCCCCTCAGCCTCCTCTTCTCCAGACTAAACAACTCCAGCTCCCTCAGCCGTTCCTCATATGACTTGTGCTTCGAGACCCCTCACCAGCTTCTTTGTCCTTCTCTGGACACGCTCCAGCACATCAACGTCCTTTTTGCAGTGAGGAGCCCAAAACTGAACACAGTATTCGAGTTGCAGCCTCACCAGTGCCGAGTACAGGGGCACGATTACTTCCCTGCTCCTGCTGGCCACGCTATTTCTGATATGGGCCAGGATGCTGTTCACCTTCTTGGCCACCTGGGCATGCTGCTGGCTGATATTCAGCTGGCTGTCGCCCAGGATCCCCAGGTCCTTTTCTGCCGGACAGCTCTCCAGCCACTCTACCCCAAGCCTGTAGCGTTCATGGGGTTGTTGTGACCCAAGTGCAGGACCCAGCACTTGGACCTTGTTGCATTTCATACAATTGGCCTTGGCCCATCGGTCCAGCCTGTCCACATCCCTCTGTAAAGCCTTCCTGCCCTCGAGCAGATCAACACTCCCGCCCAACTAGATGTCATCTGCAAACTTACCAAAGGTGCACTTGATCCCCTCATCCAGATCATTGATAAAGATACTAAACAAGACTGGCCCCAATACTGAGCCCTGGGGAACACCACTGGTGACCGGTCACCAACTGGATTTAGCTCCATTCACCACAACTCTTTGGGCTTGGCCATCCAGTCAGTTTTTTACTGAAAGAGTACGCCTGTCCAAGCCACAAGCAGCCAGTTTTAAGTACAAGGCATGGACATTGAATTAAGTATGGAATACTTAAAGATCAGCAAAGATGTGCAATGTTCTGTAGCACCAGTTGAATAAGTTAAACAGTATAGGAATGTAGGCAGAGATATTATAAGAAAACAGTACATTAAAAAATGGTATTACATTATCTATACAGAACTCTTTCAAGCATGTAATGACCAACTGTTGTTAAAGCTCCCAATTCAGTACTATACCTGAAAGTAATACTTTATGTAAATGACCATATACATCAAAAAACTGGAATGTATGTATAAATACATACATTACCCCAAGATTTAATCTCATGAATATGCATCCATAAGAGTAGCTTTAGAAATGAAATCTATTACAGAGATGTGATTTTTGATATTTATATATAGCATTGCCCATAAGACTTAATTTTACTGAAGTGTCTGTTTTTCACTAGACAAATGCTAAGTGCCTATGTACTCTGTAGTGTGGCAATGGATTCACTTCATGTGAAATAACACTGTCCTTTGTTTCAAGCCTGCTACACAGCAGTACAAAGAAACTAGGCAGCACTAAACAACACTGAGAAACAAACTACCCTATCCTATTCAAATTCTTCCACAGCATTTACAATTTTATAGATATTTAACCAAATTCCCCCACCCCTTAAAGCTGAAGAAGCTTGGACCCCTGAAAAAGATGATTTAGTCAGTCCCTGCATGCAAACCATTCCCCCTTCAACAACTTCTACAGGCCTTCTCTTTATTTCCTCTGATTCTACTACTTCAAAAAAACCAACCACATCAAAAAGACCAAAAAAAACCCAAAACAGGAAGTCAGACTTGCACAAGTATAAAGATATGGTGAATGCCCATTTTGTCATGTAATGGCATTTTCTGGTTTTCTGCTTGTTCCTACCTAATATTGCCAGTGTTCCATTTGTGTTTTTGAATGGTTTTGTTGGAGTT